TCATTCAGAAGTGAAACTCTGTATTCTGTTACAGCGCCGTACTGAATTAAAACACTGCTCAAAAATCGTAGCCTCTCCAGTTTTATGATGTTTGAACCAAGATTCCCTTCCCTTGCAATCCAAGCCACTCTGTAGGTCTGTGATCCTCTGTGTGTGCACACTGGGCAGCATGTGATACTGAAGCTTTGCTTATCCCTCTTTAAAGCATGATCGATGAGCATACGTCACTATGCACACCCACGCACACACACACACACACACACACACACACACATCTGTACCTCCCCTGTATTTCACACACATACACAGCTTGATTTTGAAGGGTCCTTAATCACAACTAAGCAATTGACTGATCAATGACAGATATGAGGAACCACAGTGGAATGCTAAGTGGACTGGATTCGTCTTTCTTTTTTTTTTTTATCAGTTACTTTATTTTGGGCCATTTTTATCACAGATTATATTTCTCTCAGTGTCAACAGGCTCTAAGCCTGGCTGAGGTATTAATTAAAATCTAAATACTAAATATTGATTGATACGTTATCAGGGCACAGCAGTTGGTCTGCAGGCTATTGATCCAGCCTGTGATTTATTATCATATTTAAGAAAAATCATTTTGCTGGACTACAAGGGGTAATGGATTTTAAGCAGAGGGGTTTACGGCCCCCTCCTTTTTTGTCTCCCTCTTTGTTATGTGGGAGGTGAAGCAGATTTCTCAATTGTATTCGGAGATCACTGATATCCTTGGTTCTGTTCCCCTTCCACCCCCAGGAGAACGTAGCTCCAGCCCAGTCTGAGGAGCCGGGGCTTATGTAAGAGAACGATCCCTGTTCTTGTCATTGGGAATAATGGGCGTTGGGATTACCTCTTTAATCACAACAAAGATTAACAGATGGTATGAGAACAGTTATTAGCAAACATCTTGCACTCATCAAATCAATAAGATGATTTGTAATCAGGCTGTCGGTGCGAGTGAAGAGAGAGCCACGGCCGTTCTCAGTGAAAGACGCTGGCAATCAGCGGCTACTGTGTAACCAATTACCTCTCAGCAAAATAGGTGTTCTTCCTCCACTAACTGGCAGTTCTCCAAAACACAAGCCAGACTGATAGCAATGAAGGGCATTAGCTGGGTAAAACACAAAACAAGGCACGGGAATTTGTGTATTTGATCAGGTGTTACGTTGCACTGGGATTTCATTTCACTCCTTGTCTCTTAATGTGATGGAGCTCACAGCCACTCCAACTGGTAAAAAAACCAAATGTTTACACAGGCCTTCCATCGCTACAAACAGACTGTAGCTCATCAGTTGTCAGCCATAAATAAGTCAGAGTGCTAACAAAAGAAAGAGGTGCACTGGAAGTGCAAATACTTCTCTCCGGGTACAGGGATGGAGAGAAGACAAGTAGAGGAGAACAAATACTTCACCACAGGATCAGATACTGTAACTGTAGGGACAGTACATCTACTGTAGGCACTGCTCAGATCTGGGGAATGTTGGACTAACACTTTGTCTTAATTTGAATTTACAGAACAATTTACTCAACAAAAACTACATAAGCAGTTCTTTGAAAAGATACGTTCTTAAAAAAAAGTTTTTTTTTCAACAGTACTGCAGCTTCAGCTCCAATGTGTCACTTAAGTTCCTCTGGGACCATCTGAACTCACGACAATATTGTACATTTTTACAGTTGTGAAATAAATAAACAAAAAATTCTTCACTTAATAGAAGAGTAGTCTAATTAACTAAGAAGGTAACTACAGTTATACACATTTTCTCTCTGAAATGCGTAATGATTCAAATGAAAGTACATTTTACGAATTAATTTAAATAATTAAAATAACACAACTGGGCTGACAAAGGAAGGTAACCTGAGGGGGCGGGGGTCTTAAGTCTTGACCGTTTTTACTGGTTATATCTGATGACCACAACAAAAGCAGCCCAGCCTGTGTCTACTAGCATGTTAACAGCAACAAAAGTTGTGCATCATAACAGACTGTGAGTGGACAGTGGAGAAATGCACTTACCGGGATTAAGCAAGGTAAACGCTGCCAAAGCAACGACAATATGAAGTAACTGATGCTGTTTAAAAATTCAGAGACCTCTATTGAACAGAGTGACTCACACACACACGCAGATCCACAGATCCCTATAGCCCACTGGTCTGCCTGCTGGTCTCTGTCTCTCAGTGTCTCTCTGTCTCTCTCTCTCTCTGTAACCCATCATGAGCTCTACACATCCGTCTAACTGACAGTTACACAGATCATGACACAATTAGAAAAACTCCTCTCCAGCACCCGTGGCCTGTTTGTGCTACTCAGACCAACACCGCAGCGTAACACACACACACACACACACACAGTAACTAAGAGCAGCCACAGATGCATATAGCACCCCTCCTCCCCCTCTCCCACCCAAACACATGTAGGCCCACAGTCACTTGTCGAGTGGCTAATATCTTTCCAAGGTCAAACCTGACAAGGAATTCCAATGAGATTAAGTGTCATCAGTGCGGCTTTAGCCCTTTTCTGCTCATTGTTCTTGGAAATGGCATTAGAGCCACAGATGACCCAGACCTTGGAGGAGTAAAATCTCTTCCCTTCCTGTGCGGTGAGACACGCTGATATGGGGGGTATTTGATACAGCACCTGTGATCAGACTCGCTCACATGTACACTATTTACAACCAGGAAGGTGAGGTACAAATGAATCCAACTGCAGGGTTTTTTTCAAATGAAATATCAGATATCAAATTGGACGGTTTATTTTATGGCTTTTCTGCATTTTTTTTTCTTCAAGTGTATTATTTTCACAACGTTTTGTGCTGTATATATTTAGCCTTTACAGTCCTGTCGCTGAGTTTTATTTAGATTCTCGTACTCAGGCGTCCGCCTCGTCAGTGTGTCACACAGCACACTGTCTGCTGCCTTCCTCAGTGAATTTGACACACACACTCCTGGTGACACCAGTGAGCATTTTGTCATCTCCTCTCAAGTGCCAACTCGATGTCCAATTACACTAGTCATTTAATTACAGCAGACAAAGAAATTGGTTTGATTTGATTTATTTCAATTAAACCTGATTGTAGCTGTCAGATAAAATTTCACTCATCTAATGTACAGAAGGGGGCTGTCACATTTCATCTTAGACACGATGAACAGGTCGTCGTGTGATGATGGCTGAGCAGTTAGAACAGAGTTCAGTTCAATTTGATACACATTTTTTAAAGATTTTAAATATTTCCTACTGGCCTTTCTGCCTATCGTCGTGAACAGGAGAGTGAATTCTTCACTTTGGGCCAGAGAGTTAACATTTAGTATATTAATCTAGTAGAGTTCCAGCAACAATAGTCAGTTTTTTAGGCATGGGGTTCAGTATTGTCCATCAACAGCATGGGGATTATTAATCTAATTGTTGTAGCTTTGGTGTCAAAGTTAAAAGGCTGGGAAACATAAAACACTAAGATGAGATTCAGAAATGGGATTCAGAATAATATATATATATATATATATA